CAGCTTTTCTAAGATAAAGTCTACCCTTTTTATATTTCAGTTTAATATAAGCAGATTTTAACTAGTGATTTCCTGGTCTATTGTATTTCCCACAATAAGCAATTCTGTAATATCCTCATTAATAACCAAGAACAGAGCTAAAATAGAAAGTTTCTCACAGATTCAGCAATAGCTTTGTGAAGAAATGTGTCACCTATCCCACTCCAGAATATCTAGACACTACTATTGATAGCAAAATTTGTTCTTCAATCTACGTTTAGGAAATCAGACTTTTCCATAAAGGATCCAAATCCCAGAAGGATTAGTCAAATTTTGATTTGTCACCCTGTCACATTATAATGTGCTAAAAATACAGGAGGATTAATGCTATTAAAACATCCTGTCTCTTAAAAGAAAATTACTAGAAAGGCAGAAGGAAATGTCCCAGAATACTTTGGTTGGAACAATGATTTTTTGGTTATGACCTATTCTCACCATGAGTAAGCAAAATACAATAGTTTCCTTCCCCACCCCTGACTGCACAATGAGAGTTAGATACCAGCTCTTTAAATGCTGCTATCACAAGCACAGATGGTTTGGTTTTCATTCCTACCCCTCAGAGGGTGTGGATTTGTTCCACCATCTCCAGCTGCCCAGGGATGGGAGACTGAAGAAATACACAATTTTTATTCTAGTCATGCCATGCAACCCCTACATTAAATACTGGGCATCATTTCTCAACACGCTGAAATTATTTCCCTCTCCCTTCATGCATGATTTCCCTGCAACTCCTTGACTGGCACAGGGCAGTTGTCATGGCAGTACAGAAAACAGTCTAATCCAGCAGCAGGAATGTGATGGAGAGCCTTGAGAATTCAGCTGAACTGTGGCCACCACTAAATATGGGCTTGTCACTTATATGATTGCAGAGAATAAACCTGATAAATGCAGATGACACGAAAGAATGACTGCTGTTTCCAAATAAAACTGCCCCCAAAATCAGCTGTTTCTTGGAGAATTTAAGTGTTTTTAGAAATAGGAACAAAAGAAGAATGTACAAATAATGACAGGAACAGGTGATGAGGTTGAACATCATGGGGGGTGTCCTCTCTAACAGCTCTGTAATTCAGGTTATTTCCTGCCCCATCAGTCCTGGCACTCAGCTGGGGTTTATTAGGCAGGTCCTCAGCATTTAGCAGAATTTATTTCTCTTTGGGAAGCCATCCTCTCTCTGCTGAGGAAATACAAGCATTCCAAGACTGCAGTTGCTACAGATGCTGTACAGCTCCTGTCAGAAGGCTGTTAACACACACATTTCCCAGAGATTTTACAAATTAATTTTAAATAACAGAGGAACTGTGCAAATTATGAGCTATTCTATCATCTGCCCAAATATTTTTCCCATATGATACAGGTTTGAAGTACTATAGAAGACTGATTCTAGACTAACAAGTCTAGAAACAGTTTAACTAACTGAAACTACATTGGTTATTGAATTTTGGCCATTTTTTGCTCTTTCTTGCAACTATATTTCTTGTAAAACTCATGAAGTTACATTTTGTTTCCAGGAATATGGGAACGATCATACATTCAATAAAGAAGCCAATTCTGACATCTCCAAATTTTAGGGTTTATGGTAAAAATAACACAAAATTTCACAAGCAAACAGCATGAATAATAAGGAATTTTTCTTTATAGAAATTTTTCTTCAAAATATTTTTATGCTTTCTGGAAACTGCCAATTATTAAACATTTCTTTGCAGCTACACCGAGATATATCTTTCCAAGAGTTTCATTCCTATTTAGGTACTTAACTTTTGTTGAACTGTCCTGAAAGATTCTCTTTTGAGTTCATCCAGTGATGAACTGAACTTCCCCAGCTGTAACTCACTGACTTTTGGGAATAATGAGATTAAAATATTACAAGTTCAAAAGTAAATATTGATACCCTAAGAACAGACATCAAGATTTCCAGAAGTTGCAGAGACTTATAATTTGTGTGATTTATTGAAAATGTGTAATAAGTTTTGAAAATCCACTCGTCTCCGGGCTATTTGCTAAATAAGTTCCAGTTTCTAAAAGGCTTTTAACAGAGTTGAACTCTTTCCTTCTAGTTCTGCAAAAAAAAAACTACAGAAAAATTTATGGGGATAAGATTGGACAGGAAAGATTAACAGGGAAAAAAACAGGCCAAGAATTAGGGCATTATTGTAGAATAAGCTCTCCCTGGGCTCTCAGCAATGGCCCTGGAAGTATGAGCAGCTATCCCCAGCTTTGCTGGAAGTGCTCAGCTGCTTGGGAATCTACCCATGATTGCTGTTATTTTGAAAGCACTAAACACATCTTTCGAAAAAACAAGTCCTAAATAGTCCTAAAGTCCTAAATAAATTTAAGGATGGAAAATTAAGATTGAAGTTAAGGATTACCAATTCACTGCACATTGCTCTTAAATGAACACAGTGACACTTCACAACTCTGTGTTCTGACTTTTTGTGGAGTTTTTTCTTCCTCCTCATTGATCTCAAGGGACAGGAAGGGAGAAATTCTGGCCATACACACAAGAAAGTGTTGTAGATTTTCTACTAAGGACATTGTGAGCAATAATACAATTGTCACTGTAAAACTTCAGCAGAAGGACTCACAGCCCCACTTGCTTTACTCCCCCATGTCCTGTATCCTTTGCACTCTGCTCAGTATTAGGAAGGGCACAGGGAAAATGTCCTGAATAGGACAAGTTACAGGAGACAGACAATGAATCAAAGCAATCAAAAGAATCTGTGACATCAGAGCATGAGCACAAAGGCCTTCTGGCTCTGAACTGTGGGTTCCAACACTGTAAAGCCATCACATTCACAGAAGTGTTCTTCTTTAAAGTACGATAAATCTCTTCCTTTGCCCTTTCAAAACTTGAAGTTTTGATCAAAGTACAAAGTCCATGGCCTGTAACATTAGATGAGAAAGCAAATTCATCTTGTCTCAGGGGAATTATGGCAAGCTGACTCTATCTCTAAATCCCAAACACAGCTCTGCATACAATTCTGCCCCTGGAGAGATGAAGAGATGTAAGCACATATGACAAATGAAAATCATCTGTTCACTGTGCTACCAGAAGATTCTAAGATAGGACAGTAATGAAGATTTAAGGGACTTAAATAGAATTTTTTCCCACAAATTACTGACCTGCTATCAAGTAGCACATAAGAAACTACAAAATAGGCAACATAAAAATAAATAGGGCAGCAACCTGTAGTTTTAAGGCTCAGTCTCTGATGTTCCCACTAGGTTGTACTAGGAATTGGACCAAGTCTTTAGAAAGAAACCAAATCTTGTAAAAAGGCAGCAAACAGCAAGTGAATGTCACAGCTTCTATCAGCCTCCAGCATGTAAACTCATTTAGCATCAGTCACAGGCTTTATAATTGCCCTGCTTTCAGCAACACAACCCAACATGCACCATTCAGTTGCTTTACTGCAAAAGCACAACAATAAAAGCAGCAGAAAGGTGCATTGCCAGAATGACTGCAGTGTTTGTCTGCTCTAGGGCAGGTATATATCTTTTTACAGCACCACCACTGAATATACTCTACTCTGTCTTCTGAACTGTAATAAAAAAAAGGCATTTGTAGTTTCAGATACCCTTAAAAATATTGGGTTTAAAACATGTCTCCTGCAATAACGCTGCCAAAACATGCCACAAAGCTTTCAAAAGTTTAACTTTTGGCATCAGAGAACTTCTTACATGTGTCCTTTTGCATCAAGCACCAGAAAGAATTGGAAGTCTGCAGCCCCGTGCTATTTCTTTTGCTTTTCCCAAAAATATGTATAAATTTGGAAGGCACAAACCTGTAAAAACTATCTTGAATCACAAACAAGAACTAACTTCTCCATGAGTTTATGTTCTTGCCATCTCACGAGGAGTTAAAACCACTGCCCTGATGTTGTAACACAGAATAACTGTACCATGTCATTATTAGTGGCACTGCAATACATCTGTTGTCAGTCCTTCACCAAACACCTAATGACGAACCACAAACTATAGATCAAACTGAAGGAATGTTACACATCCGACCATTTAGCAGCAGTAACAATCCATCTGTTGTGCATTATTACTTCTATGAATCATAAACTTAATTCTAAATTAGGTGATTAAATAGTGGCATAATTCACTTAGATGTTAAAGGGATAACATTTTGTTTGTGGTTCCAGCTGTTTACTTGGAATTACATTAGCTGGAGCTCGGGGCATAACTGTGTGAAAGTCAGGTAATGACTGGAAACCAACACCAGGTTTTGTGTTTAGAAGTCAGACAAGGAACAGAGTTTGGGAGATAATAATCTTGAGGAAACAACAGCAAGTTGATATCATCGTTCCATGTGATGTCTCTGCACACTTTTGAGTGATAAGTGAGAAAAAGATAATGATTAGGTTTTTCCATTGTTTTTCTACTATTGAAACACCACAGTCTTTCCTTTGTAACCTTATATTGGGTACAGGTATCATGGGGCTGAGTGGTGGGATGGTAACACCACCTTACCAAAAATGTCAAAACTATTTCATTTCCAAGGTATTGGGTTTGCCCAGATCCTATGAAATTCTCCCTTTCACCTCTTCTTACTTCACTGATTAAGCCACAGGCTGATTTTCTACCGACTTAATGCCAGCAGAGAAAAAACCATGTTTTTTCAAGTAAAAGCAGAAAAATAGTGCTTATGAAGCACTCCCAGAGATTCAGTCTTTTTCCAAATATTGAATTACTGTATCTTTGGCAGGGATATGCCATGAAATAGGATGAACTACAAGCACTCATTACCTTTTGGTTCCACCAGGCTGATATCTTTCAGGTTTATCCTGCTGTGGCCCCACTCTTATGGACTTGCATTTATAGGTGAAAGCATTTTGTGTGGAGGATGTCCCTGTTTAACTACAAAACTATCACCCAGGCTGGCTTGTGTTTGATCCTGAAGAAATGGTGCTATTCCCAACAGGCATCCTGCCAGGACTGCAGGACCCACACCTACCCACCTGCTGAAGATGCCATGAAGGACAGAGCTCATTGCATGATTCAGGCTTGGAATTCATGTCACCTGCAGTGTTACTGGATCTTCTGACAGCTCATCCACAGCAAACAAAAAAATTTGGGGCTTGATGGAATTTCCGATGACAAAGTCCTGTAGGATACAATAAGAATGTAACCAAATATAGGTCATGATTTAAATGTCAATCAGCTTAATAATATATATGCCTTTTCAGCACTGCAAAAAGTGTTAGCAGTGGTTGTATGTGACTCCTCTGTATCAGGCTCTAAACCCACACAAAATCAATTTTTACCCCAGGTAGCCACTACATAACTTTATGGAGTCACCCTGCAGAAGCAGGAAGGAACACAGAGAAGTGAAAAGACCTTTGCTGGGTGCCCAGGAGATCAACAGAAGAGACAGAATATATTAGAGCTGCTCTCTCTCTACTTCTGACTGCTGCAGTGGGAGGAGAATATGTAATTTAATTCATGCTCTAGTCTAAAGTGTTAAATAATAAACATAGCTAACTTAAATCCCTCTCAAACTATCAGCAGGGGAAATTAATGTTTGTGTTACTTATCTGAGGTGATCTAGTCCGTGATGCTTCTTTCTAACTTTAAATATAAATAAAAATGTTATGTGCACTAGCTCAAAAGCTAAGAAGGCAACAGGAATGCTCTTTCTCATGGACCTCAGCAGGCTTCAGGAGACCTAAGCAACCTGGACCTGCACAGGAAGGAAGCATTAATTCACCAGTACCTTGTTCCAAAACATTTCTTTTAAAAAATGCCAAGAAGAAACTAAAGAATGGGAACACATAGCATTTGGTTACAGTCACTCAAGTGTAGACTGTAAGTGGTATCTACTCACAGCACAGAAAACCTGTGCTATCAGAAGTATGAGGAGGTCAGGGAAAAGAGAAGGAGAAGGCGTAGAGGAATAACGTCCTCCCTCTGCTCAACTGCAGAGACTTGGAAGGGTGCCTGTTCCTCAGCATTTGCTGTGATTTTGTGCCTCTTACATATTCTGCTGCTTAATAAATTTACTCTGACAAGGAAAGTATAATCCTCCCTGAGATAGCAGAGTTATTATTTCCCCTTATTCATCATGTGTTCTCTTCTTTATGGAGTGGTGAGAATAGAAAGGCAGCCTTGGCCCACCAATGGCTGGTGCTGGAGGTTCAACCATTTGGTGTAAGTGTTGCAGTATTTTGTTATAAGGAATTCACGGCGTTGTCTTTGAGCTTCTCTTTATTGCTCCCTGGTTTTGCAAATTTTATTTGCTACTAGCAAACAATGGTTCTCATTACATTTGCCATAGGCAATGTCAGAATGTCCCCATCCAAATGGCTCATCAGCCTCATTCAGATCACTGTCAGTCATGCCACAGGCAGATCACTAAGACAAGACATCCTGAAAGGTTCTCGTAGCCACAGAGCTGCCCCATAATGACATGCAGCTCCTGCAGCAGTGCCTGCAGCAGCCCAGAAATTCATAGTCCACTGGCTGTCCAGTTTTCACTGTGCTGTAATAAAATGCTGCTGGCAGGTGTAGATAAAAGGGGTGAACAAGGTTCTGCTTCAAGTTTCTGCCCTTCGAATTGCTTGTCTTCTAATAACAATATGAGAATACAGGAGGGACCAGCACAGCTGTATTTCAGTGGATTTGACAGTGAAACACTCCTGCTGTGCACGGAAGCAGCTCTGCAGAGTGAGCTCTGCAGCCCAAGGAAATCACTGCCCCGGCTCTGTCTGGTACCCACGGCTCACAACTGACCTGCCAGCTGGCACTAAAGGAACAGGGTCACACTTCCAGCACAGAGCAGGCACCAGGGGTTACTGTGAGTGCTTTGTCAGACAACACTGTGTTTGAATGAAATATACTGTACAGCCTCATTAACTGCATATTTTAACTCTGCATGACTGTAATAGTTTGCCATAAAAAATAAGGATTATTTACCAGCACAACAGAAAAGAGACAGGAAACCCCAAAGTGAAGGACTTGTTAATTCTTGAAATTTTTCCCTCATGAAAACCTAGGACATTGCCAGTGTTAAGGTCAGTCCAATAGATAATCATTTAGAGAGAAATGTTTGCAGCACCCTGAACTCCAAAACAGAAAATAGTACATTAGATGGACAGCAGAAGGGTCAGAGAGCTCTACTGCCAGGACAATCTATTTTCAAGAGTGTGGCCTTAGGAATAGAATACAGAGAAACACCACAAAAACTTACCAAAAGAGCAACATTTATCAACAGAAATAATGCTGTTATCTCATAAAATCTCAAAAAAAAAAAAAAAAGCCCCAGTTCTAGAGAGTTCCTTGTTCAGGCAGATCTCCCTGTGTGTTTCCTGACTGATATGGTGTCATTAGCAATTATTTCTAATGGCCAAAAACACTGTACTAAACAACAAAGAAAGTACCCACACCAAAAATATTTTAGGTAAGTTTTTAGGAAAAACGATAAATAGTTGTTTGCAGAATAATGTAAATTCCCAGTTGGAAACCACAGCAGGGAACCTTCTTTGCTGCCTGGGACTCTTCTAAAAATCAGGAGCAATAAAGAGGAGGCAGGAGATAACATTTCTCTTTAGTTCTTCTGCTTTAACTAAATTGCATTAAAAAAAATAATACCAAGTTATTTATTTGCCTACATTTCAAACAGATGTATCTTCAACTCCTTAGATCCCCTGTGTACAATATAGATGATTAGAACCAAATACAGCAGAGAGGAACTGGTCAAAAGCTAATAGTCACTATAAATAATACCCTCTTAAAATACTCTCATAGAAACAGTAGTTATTTTTACTTAAAACCTCTTTAATTTATCTCTTTAATGTTATACTAATTTTCAAGATAATAAAGAAAAATTTTTACAAGCATGACAGATCAGTACCTACAGCATCATTAATCAATATAAGAGATAAACAAGCACATTACCAATAAAAAAAGATGCTATAGGAGAAGTTTAATTTATGTTCCTCAGCAATAGCACACATATAAATAAATATTAATTGTTGTGAACAAGATACCATCTGCAGCCCATTTTTATGGAAAAGTCCAAAGGAAAAAAAAGTTTTCTTTCTACTATCTGTATACAAAAAGAATTGGAGAACTTACAGTCTCACTGAGTCACTGAACTGTTTAGGATGAAAAGCCCTCTAAGAACATTGAGTCCAACTGTAAACCCAGGACTGCCAAGCCCACCCCCAAACCATGCTCCCAAGTGCCACATCCACATGTTTTTGAACACTTCCAAGGATGGTGACTTCACTCTTCCCTGCAGAGCCTGTTGGAATGTTTGACAAACCCTTCAGTGAAGAACTTTTTCCTAATATCCAATCTAAACTTCCCCTGGCACAACTTGAGGCCATTTCCTCATCCTGTTGCTTGTTATCTGGGAGAAGAGGCTGAACCCCCACCTGGCTATACCCCCCTCTCAGGCAGTTGTAGAGTGAGAAGGTCTCCCCTGAGCCTCCTTTCCTCCAGGCTAAACATTCCCAACTCCTCTTCCTCAGACTTGTGCTCCAGACCTTCCCCTCCTCTGTCACCCTTCTGTGGACACGATGGCTATTGGTAGGCTCCAGCACCAGGAAATATAAAAATCACACAAAGATACCACACAAAACTCTTTTTGAAATATGTGTTTTTGAAACACAAACCTACTTCTGAAACCATAGTTTTGATTTGCCTTCCGCTCTCTCTGTTCCTTTGTAAGCTCAGGCACAGAAGCTGTAGAGGCAGTAAAGCTGCTTTATTTTATTACATTTTATTACATGTTCCTCTATAACACAAAGCCACTGAAAGAGGACCATTTTTTTATAGAATTACCACCTGGTGAGCCTGCCTGCTGCTTTATTTTCCTACCTGTCCTGGTACTCAAATGACCCTTATCATTAGTGCACCATTAGAGTTAGGAGTGCCTGTACTTTATTTCATGTATTCAGGACAGGTTATGGACTGAGAAGAGTCTCCAAGGAAGTGTTTCACCCTCACTTATCAACTAGGTGTGCTCCACACAAAGCTGCCAGGTTCCCCAGGCTCAGGGAAATTTACTGCTCAGCACAAGGGTGGCAAAATTCAGGTTTGGAATCAAATCCCCTGCATTTGCTTCACAGAGCAATTCACTGAAGAGCTGCCAAAATTCTTCATTTCCTCACAGTGACAGGGCCTCATCCTTCTCCCCTCACCTGTTTCACACAGTGAGGAGGACAGTGCTGTGTGGTGGCAAAGAGAAGGCAACAAGCCAAGGTAGGACAGCAAAGTACTTTAAAATGCCAAAGGGTGTTAATTGATGGATGCCTGGACCAGCTCCTCCTCCTGCTAATGCAGATGCCACCAAGTCTCCAAATGTGGGGAACAAGGGACTGATACATCTCAGAGATGCTGTCACCATATAGTTGTACCAGTACAGGACCTCATCTGTAGATACATGGTGGAATTAATTTGTCAGTATATTTAAACAAGTGTTTCAAACAATATAAATGAGTACAACAGAAAAGGCACACTTGTCTCTTGTCCAAAGGCCCAGTGAGCTGCCTGAGAGGCCAGCACAGCCTGGCTAACCAGTGCCACAGGGATCACAGGAGTCAGACCCCATTAATCACACTGAACAAGGAACAAACGTTAAATTGCTCATACCAACACACAGGACTGACTTGGAAAGTAAGATGAATTATCAGCTTCCCAGACTCTGCTGTTAACTGATGAATCTTAAATAATGAACCACTCCAGACTTTTAGGAATGGTCTCTTCCTCTTCATGGGGTTTTGAGACACTCCTGTCTCTTCAATAGCTCTGCTGAGCTTTATAAAGCTCAACAGCAGCACCAGGCACTGGTTCCATGGAATGAGGGTATTCCTGGCCACTGCTTCAGTCCATTCCTATGCTCCATAGGCCAGACTGTCAGATCATGGCAACTGCTGCTTACCTCCCATGATTACAAAATCATGGTCTCACCTTCTTCATACTGAAATTGTCTTATGTCTGCACTTTCAGCTCAGTTTTCAACTCAAAATTAGCTTTGGTAAAATTAACGAATATCCAGAAAGGAATCTTTAGTATTCTAGATTGACTTAATCTTTAAAAGTCCTCAGAACCCATGTGAAAAAAATAGACTGCAACAGTGCTGAAACACTTTTTGCCATGGAATACACAATTCTGCTTTAAACTGCTTTAGAAAGCCAGCAAGAGTTATTGAGAAAAAAAATATATGTCTAGCAAAACCCCAAAAGGGAGATTTCACATCAGTTAAAGACAGTCCACTGCCCAAAGAGACCCATGAGGGTGG